GCATTATGTAAAGGTACAATTCCCAATGAGAAATGTAATTGTGTTGTATACCTACAATGTACCAATAAAAGAATTTAACAAAAAAAATAAATAAAAAATGTTTGTGTTGTGGGTATGGATTTCTCCACTTTGTAGAATTCAATAAAAAAGATGTATATCTGTTTTGTCACACTTTCATGTGCTGTAGGCAAAAACATCATTTATAAAATTTAAGCAAGAGTACATGATTTTAAATGGGTATTATGATATTTAGTATATATCAAAAAGTGCATTTTTAATAACATGCTATACTATCAGGTGGGTATGTGAATTTTCCTTTATCCTTGAGGGCTTGCCTGGAACTGAAATATGTCACACTGCCAGTATGATCTTAGCAGCCTGCTTGGCTATGTTCAGGGATTACAGTTTCCTCACACAGTGTTTGTTTACTTAAAGGGAAATGTACTGCAAGTTTGTGTATACATTGGCATGGCTATCAGAATAGCTAGTTTTTCTGTTTTATTGCTAATTTTAGTCTTTGTCTTTAACATTTGTTATCATGTATGTCTAAAGAAGACTGTAGTATGCTATGTGTATATATAATTGCTTGGAAATTACTTTGGACTTCAATTTTTATAAATTAGTTTCAGCAACACAGAAAAGAAACTTTAAAAGTTGACCACCACCATGAAGGAAAACTTGTGCTGGGGCAAATGGCAGCACAGCCAGGATCTGAGGTTTATTGGAGGTCTCAGCAGGCTGGCCTCTTTTCTCTAGAGCAAGAAAATTATAAAGAAATAAATAAATTTGGTGGGCCTATACCATTGAGCTGTTCCCGTTTATATTGTTGAAGGTATGAGTGGTGTGATGAACTCTGTCCATCCCTGCTTTATCTTCTTGAAAAGGAAAAAAAAGGCAGTGGCCTGTTAATGATTTAAGAGAGGCAGTTTCCCAGTATTACTATTATTATGCTTATTCCTTTTCTGCTACAAGATCTTATAGGTAGAAATATTTAAAGCACCCAGGGGAACATGAAAAAGGAGTATCATGTTTTTAACAATATTGAAAGTACAATGAACGGTTCAAGTACTGACACTTGGAAAAGGTACTGAAGAATTCATAGGCTTAGGTGCCTATCTCTGGGAAAAAATAGCCGGATTCTTTGCACTGGTTGGTATGAAGGAATTTGAATGTTTTACTATTACTTAAATTTTTAGAGACATAGGTTCATGTTATATAGTTTTTATAACTGTTCTTTACATATTGTTGTACCAATAGTTCCTCCAAGTGGCTATCAAATCCTTTTTCCTTATTTGAGGAAGTCTTATACTATGGGGCATTGCACTGGAAAATATGAATTTATTAAACCATCGTTGTTGTCTTCCTAGGATTTAGAAGAATTCTGCTTCAGGTTTTGCATAAACCATATGACTGTTGTAACACAAACTTCAGGCTTTGCAGAAATGGACCACGATCTCTTGAAGAACTTCATCAGCAAAGCCAGCAGAGTTGGAGCATTTAAAAATTGATCCTTACCTGCACAAAAGGACAGAGTTTTTGTGACTTTCTATTTCCCCTGCAGAAAAGCCAGTGATGAATAATTCTCCTTAGCAACATTTATGATGAGCTACATTTGGTTTATGTCAAGAGAATGATAATTGGTCTTTGCCATCTGCTGAAATCAGAGTTTACATAGAAAGCATTGAATGGTCTGATTAGATATGGCAGTGCTTAAGGAAAACTATGCAAATGTCTTTTTTTTTTTTGGTTCCTGGGATCGAACTCTGGTCCTTGCGCTTGCGAGGCAGGCGGCGAAACCACTGAGCTAAATCCCTGGCCCGCAAATGTCTTATTATATTTGCCTTTTTTTTTCTTTTGAGTCACTTAATTTGGATAGCTTTGGTACATTGGTATATTGGTTGGTGCCATTCTGGCCAAATGTTCCATTATTCAGCTGGTGGATACTATAAAGCTAGATAAGCATTGCTGTCACTACCACATTTTCAGATCCAGCACAGTACCTTGCATATAATAGGCATGCAAGTAATTTATTGTAAATATTAAAGGTGGCTTGAAAACAGATTTGTTTATGGAATACTGGATGAAGGAATAAGTTACACAAATTTAAAATAGCCTATAATTATTGAGGTTCATATTCTTCTGATACATTGTTCTGAGGAATAGTGATTAATTTAGTGCAGTGATGGTGAACCTTTTAGAGCTTTCAATGATAATAGCCCACTGTGGCACATGTGCCATAAGTTCACCACCACTGAAGTAAAGCATTAATTAGAATTCACAAAAGGCCTTAGCAGCTAAATTGTCAAAGGCTCAAGGGCTAATTTTAATTTTCTATTAATTCTGAGTCTTTGATTTCTCATGAGATTATTGAAATATTATCTCTCTACAAAGGTTATTTCAGGGCTCATCTGCCTTACACAATTGTATACATTTCTTTGTGTTAAGGAGAATTTGCTTTTGTAAGTAAAAATGATTGTGTTTTTCTTGTAGTTGACTTTTATGTCACTATAAAACAGGTCTCAACATGACACTAGTGTAATTGTTCTAGATGAAAAGGAAGTAATACATTTCATGGACAGCATTCACAAGACACAGATATTTATACTTTTTAGATCAAAACAAGTTACCCAATTGTAAAAAAGAAACTAGAATGGGAAGTAGTGTCTGATTCTTCTAATATTGTGTCACAATATGATGTTATGTAAAGAAAACCCTTTAGAATTAGAAGTCTTGTTCTGATGCTGAACTATTTGATAATAAAGTTGCCAATTTGCACATAATAGAACAAATGTGGTTTTTTAATCTCTAAGAAGCAGCAGAATTGTATAATATTGACTTAATTCCTCTTATATATAAATCCATTTAATAAACTGTACATTTTAAAAACTGTTATTCAGATAAAATTTCTTAAGAAAGCCTACACAAAAACATAAATGGCTTATAAAACAAACCCAATCATTATTCATATTATTGCTTTTTACTGACAAGGTTACTTTTCTTTTTTCCAGTACCAGGGATTGAACTCAGGACCTTGTGCTTGTGAGGCAGGCGCAGCACCACTGAGCTGAATCCCCAGCCCATGGTGAGGTTACTTATAAGACATTTTTAAGAGCAATTTTAAGTTTACATCAAAACTGAGAGGAAGGCAGAGATTTCCCATTTATCCTCCGCCTCCACACATACATAGCTTCTCTCATTATCAGCATCCTTCAGCAGAGGGATATATTTGTTATAATTGACATATCGGCATCACTTGAAGTTCATAGTTACATTAGGGTTCACTGTTGGTGTTATACATTCTATGGATTTGGACAAATGTAGAATAGCATGGAGCCAGCATTAATAGTTTCACTGCCCTATAAAACGCTTGTGCTCCACCTATTTATCCCTTCCCTGTCCCAACCCCTGGCAGCACTGACACTTTTACTGTCTCCATAGTTTCCTGACGGTCATGGCATTGATCTCTTAAAGTATGGTAGCCTTTTCACATTTTTTTTTTCATTTAGGGGTATGCATTTCAGGTTCCCTCATGCCTTTTTATGGCTTGATGGCCATTTCTTTCTTAGTACTGTTTCAGTGTGACTATACCACAGTTTATTCAGTCATTTATTGAAGGACAACTTGGTTGCTTCTAAGTTTTGGCCATTATGAATGAAGCTGCTACAACCAACCAGGTACAACTTTGTGTAGACATAAATTTTCAACTTCTTTTGGCAAATGCCAAGTAGTATGATTGCTGTTTGTATCTTAAGAGGATATTTAGTTTTTAAAGAAACTGCCAAACTGCTTTCCAAAATGGCTGTACTATTTTGCATTCCGACCAGAAATGAATGGGAGTTCCTTTTGCGACATCCCCATCAGTGTCTAGTGTTGTCGATATTCCAGATTCTGGCTATTCTAATAGGTCTGTAGTGCTGTCTCAATGTTGTTTTAGTTTGTATTTCCCTGATGACATAGGATATGGGACATTTTTTTATATACTTACTTGCCATCTGTGTATCTTATGACTGTTTACATTTTTGACCCATTTTTAAATAAAGTTGTTTTCCTGCTGCTTGAGTTCTTTGTATATTTTGGATAACAGTCCTTTATCACATGTCTTTTGCAAAGATTTCCTCCCAGTCTGAGGTTACTTTTTGAATCTTTAGTTTCTTCTTGACAAATTATATATATATTTTTTTCCGACCTATCTAATAGAGGCAAAGGAGTCTGGATGCCTCCAGTTCTAAACCAGAGTCCTATTTTTGGAACTGTGTAGTCTTAGTCACTTGTTATTTTGTTAGCCATATACCATTTGTTTTCATTTTTTTGGATATTTTCTGTTTTATCCAACAAAGAAACCTTCAGTCATGGGAAGGCAGTTAAATAACTATGATCTTCATTTTGTTGTTGTTTCTTCTATACCTCCAATCTCAGCTCATAAGGCTTCACTGTGTCTTAGACAATCTTGTCTTCCTATTTCTGACAGGGTTTTCTGAAGCTCCTTATTAAGTGCCCTTTTGGTTTACAAACTCACTTCCTATAAAACCTGGAACTCAGAGAACAGAGAGGTTTATTTAGGGATGACAAATGGACTTCCTGTTACCAAACTCCACAATGGCTCAATACTATACTTCCAAAATATGAGTTATTACTCTGGATTTGCAGCCATATTTTCTCTGTAAGCTTTGTTATGTGAAGGGGTACATTATTATTTATCTCAGTGTATCTTATCTCTTTGCACAACATAACGATCTCTTGGACTTACAGAATATAAATGTGAGAATTCTAATTCAGTATACAGTACTTAAGCTCCACAAATAATTCTGATATTCTCCCAAGGATGAGAATCAGGTCTTCCTCTTAAAACTTGAGACTCCAGACAATAAGGAAGAACTAATTTTAGCCCAGTTTGAGAGTTGACAGATAAGTCCTGGATATGGATATATCTGTCTGAAAAAATGTTCTCTCTCTGGTCTTTGGGGACAGGGATACTAGACACTAATATGGGAAGGAAAGATCTCCTTCCTTTCTTTCCTTCTGACAGATAAGTATTTAGAAAGCCTCAGAAAAGTCCTATTTTCCTGCTATAGTATTAGGTGAGAGAAAGGTAAATTTTTATAGTGACACTGCATCAGAAATGAATGGATCTTTTCTTTTGTACAAGTTTATCTTGTTTTTCAAGACTTAAGTTTTGTTTCTTGATCCTACAAGGACGTTCAATGTTTTATAATGTGTCCAACATAATTTATCTTAACATACATAGACAAAGATTAAGACTGTACATGAATGAAGTAGGGCCCTCACAAGTTTAAGGTGCCATTTAATCCATTTTAAAAAGCAAAGGTAACCATTTTACCCCAAGCATCACTCAGGCAAGTGTCATTTCAACCAGTTGATTCTTATATTGAATAAATTTGAAAAAATTATCATTTTTATATTTCCTGTTATAAAAATTAACAAAAAATAGGCAACTTTTTTGGTCAATCTGTATTTAAGTAATTGGACTGGTAAGTGGTTAAGAATGTTGAATATGTTCTTTAGCTCAGCATTACTGTACTTTGGATCATAATATGTACAGTTTATATTTAGAGGCAGAATTCTTCACTGGTGATACTGAAAAGAAACAATTACAAACAATATAACCTTGTCTATCTTAAGCCTTCCTACTGCCATTTTCACAAGTGGTTTAAAAAATTGTGAAAAAAAGGAAAAAACCCATATCCTGCTATTATTTAAAATTTGGTCTTTACAAGAACATAGAAGCAAAACTTACAGGTTTTCCCAGATGCTTGTTAAAAATCATTTTTTATTTAGGAAATAACTGATATTGGTGTAAATAATAAATTCAGTGTTTCATATCAAAATATCACATTTAACTATAAAGTATAGCCCCCAAATAATGGACACAAAAAAAGATTTATAAAAATAGATGACTATCCCAAATTCATATTTTGTTTCTTTTAATCTCATTTACACATTATATAGTTACCATTGCTTTACTATAAAGGATATCTAAGGCAATTACCTTATAAAAAGGTATATTTTGGGCCACAGTTCTGGAAGTTGGCAGTCTAAGATCAAAGCACTCCATTGCTTTGGGTCTCTGGTGAGGGCAGCACATCATGATGGAACCACATGGCGGAGCAAACCACTTACATCAGGGGCCAGGAAACAAAGACAGGAAGGGCATCCCCCAGTGTCCTAAGCACCTCCCTTCAGGCACCCTCCTCATTTTTGTAGTACTGGGGATTGAACCCAAGGGACACTCTACCACTGAACTATCTTTCCAGGTCTTTTAATTTTCAGATGGTCTTTGCCAAGGTGCCCAGGCTAGGCTTGAACTTGAAATCCTCCTGTTTCAGCCTCCTGAGTATCTAGGATTACAGGGATGTGCCACTGTGCCCAGCTAGACTTCATCCATTAAAGGTCTTACCACCTCCCAACAGTGTCACTCTGGGGACCAAGCCTTCAGCAGTGGGCCTTTGGAGAATGTTTTACATCCAAACTGCAGCACAGCAATATATTTCTATTTAAGAAGCTATACTTGTGGTAGAAATTTAATACAGCATTTCCAAAGATAAACTTTCAAGCTGTCCTGTAAAAATCTATTTAGTATAAAGGAAAATTCTGTAGATTCATGTTGTGTACACTATATTGGCCCCGAAATGAGGAACAAAATAATCATTCTAAAAGCAAGTTTCTATGAAATCATCCAGATAATAATAGAACTAGAATGTAGGATCTTCCTATCTACCATCTGTGCCAGAAAACTAATAAAAAATAAATATATCAGTTGGACTTGTCTCATTTATTACAGTCAGCATTATATCACCAGAATGCTAAATTAATTGCCAAAAATGATAAATTTTGTTTGTCTCCTAAATATGTTTATAGTGTCATTAAGGCTGCTTGATTTTGACTTGAGAACTATATGTAAGAGTCCCATCCAAAACGAGTGCATCCTACTGATATATGCCTACTTTTCCTGCTTTATCCTATCCGCCTTTCTTCAGGAACAAACATTGCAGAAAGAAAGAAATACATTATCATCAATCAGATCATCCATTAAAGACTAAGAGTGGATGAGATACTAAGAGAGTTTACATCCAGTAGGGAACAATACTACACTGAATACAAAAATCACACCAGACCATTAAAACTCTTAAACTAATTTATTTTAAAATAGACAAACTATTAATTGTAGAAAATAGTAACATAGCAATTTTAAATTACAGTTTTAACCAGTACAAAAAAAGCAATATACCATTATTTGAAGCCTTAAGAAATCTGAATACATGATATCTGAAATACCTAAATTTGTCACTAATTCTAATGTGAACTTACTAGCAAAAAACCCGGAAGTATGGTATGCCCTTGACCTAACAACTAACTGACTTGTATGATATTCATGCAAAAATTAATGAAGAAGCTGGGTAAAACTTTCTAGTGCCTTTGTTATCAAGATAACTGTCTAAAGATTGTTTGAAACTCAACTGGGCAAAAAATAGTTTCCTAACAAATGAGGCCAGATTTCTTTTTAAAAAGAACTATGGCTTTAGACAAAGTGATTTTCCTAACTGCTAGCTGATGCTACCTTAAATACCACCTATTTTAAATTATACATTCTCTAAATAAGTTAATCATACAAGATAGTTTAAATACACCTTTAGGTGCAGGAGAGGAAGGGAAGTGCCTCTTTTTCTAATGTGGATATTTTGAAGCTTTTGCATAAACTCAGAAACATTAATGCCTAACTTACAAAGACTTTTGCCTACTTGCAATGTTGAACTAAACATAAGGTGGCTTTGAACATGCCAGTGTTAGACCATACCCACTTAAAATAGAAGATAAATAGGTAACTGCCAGTTCAAAAGATACATGGAAGACATGTACCGTTCCAGAGAAAATACAAATCTTCCAAAATTTAGGAAGGCAGATTAATTTATATCTTGATTCTTAAGGACCCAGAAACATATACAAAGTGCACTTGGGATATACTGTATTAGGGTCCTCTGCAGCAAAGCTCTCACAAGACACTATTTTTCAAGTACTAGATGGGTACTTATATATTCAGAGATCTCAATGGAAAAAAACCAAGGGTATTATTAATAATCCTCATTTTAAAGCAGAGTTGGATGAAAGAATAAGTTCTTGCAAGTTCTGAGGTATGAAAACTGTGTCAGTAGTACGACAGTATCATGTTTATATTTTTTGCTTGTACTTACAAGCAACTTTTAAAACAAGCACAGAGTACATGAGATTCCAATACTAAAATAAAATCTAAATGTGTAAAAATTAGTAATTTTTCTCACAGTTTCTAACAATAATCTGTTTCAGGAGAAGAGTTCAGGTTAATTTGGGTGAATGGGCAAATTGCAGTTGGAAGACAGGACACAGTTTCTAAGGGTGTTCATGTTAAATTAAAAAATATACATATAAATTAATAAAAACAAGAGCAAACATCACATGTATGCTACAGGGAAGGCAAAGTAGACAAGTATGAGTTAGGACTCTCACTCCAGAGACAGCCTTAACTATTCTTCAAGCACAGCAATTTTACTTTGTTTTAGAAATGCAAACATTATCTGCTATAATTTTTTAAATGGCAAGATTTACACAAGATTTTCAATCTTGTACAACAACATGAATATACCATTGACTACAACATTTAAAGTAGCTTAGGAATTACCCACACAAATATCCAACTTGCATCTCACGTTTTATTTCTACAAAAAGAGCTGGAGATACTACATGTGGCTGTGAACCTGGGAAAATTACAGTCACATCTGTGAGAGACAATGCAGCAAGAGGTGTATACAGTGTCAACCATGGTCCTGAGATCCTCACTTTTCTTCCTTGTTTGAGGTATCCATGCTGTCATTCATTTTCTGTTTTTGCATTCGTGTTCTAGTAGATGCTGGAAAGGGATGAAGAATTGTTAATAGCATTGATGGTACTGTGTAAGTTGGCATGGGGCTGCCAAACATATCATACTTATGTCAAATTGATGGAGTGCAGACTTTACACAAGCAGTGGCCTCCAAAATTTTTTAATCTTATTTCCCTGTCAGTAAAATT